CGTCAGACCAAAAGTCTCAGAATTTGCATAGATGTCATAAGAAGAACAGACAGTCAAACCATGTGCTCGGTCCGCAAAAGTTCGTATGGAGCAATGGGACCGGTAGATACAAGGCCAGATTGCTCCTGAAGTGGTGGAGAAAAGTACGACGAAAGGAACCACGTGGCCGAGCCCGCTTACGGGAAACCAGATCAGAACCCGAATGTTATGTCAGCAAGTGCGAAGGGCACCTACATCTTTTCAGATCAAGGTCTCTGCAGGTGCCAGCAGCCCCACATGCGAATTCATTCAGGGGGAAAGTGTATGAGTCTTATTCTGCAGAGTCGAAGGTGTCCACGAATGTGAAGCCAATGGGTTTGACAGGATGATTGTCAACGTACGTCTAGTGCCTGTACGTTTTTCAGCCGTCTACGGTGAGCCTTTTTACGGGAAGACCGAGGGATGGGACAGCGACCTTGTCTCCGCCTGGGGAGCTCCCACGCACGGCAGCGAGTGTCATCCAACCGCCGACTTTATCTGTGCAGCCTGTTTTTGATAGAAACCAGGTTGTGCAACTACGACAAGCACAACGAGACCACCTGCCATTTATGCTGTCGGACCTCGGAGGTGGGCTGAGATCACTTCTCAAGACGTCAGTTGAGGCTCAGAAGCAATTGGAGGAGTAAGCGATGAAGTACCAGGAGGAACAGCCAAGTACATCGTCTACGTGGTGAAATTAGAAAGGGAGCATCGAGCAAGGACTCATGTGAGATAAGGGGTGGAATTGCACCAGGACCTCAAAGGCATCTTTGCCGACTACCACGAACAGGTATCCTACCTAAACTCCAGGTCGGTTTCAAGGAAATCCAAGCGGACCTCAGGGAGTCTTTGCCTATAACGTTCGGATGGTCATAGCGGACACCAGGGTGCTTCACATCTGCATACCAGTGGACCTGGAGGTGGAATCGGCACGTTCGGGACCGTGGGGTTTCCCGGGCTTGAGAAGCCATCTTTGGCTCCGGTTTCACGATTGATTGTGGTAGGTGCTTGGGTTCATAGTCGCCGAGGTCACTGCCAGGGCTTCGCACTTTGCAAGGAGGTGGCGGAAGTAGTTGTCCGCGCATCATGTTCCTGTAAATAGACTTCGTGTCTAGAGTCTAGAAGCGTGGACTTCACCAAGTTGGTTCTGAAGGCCCCTTCCTGGGCCGGATTTGAGGTAGCAACACCGAGCTCACGACAACACTTCTCGCAGCAGCGAAGGGCATCTAGCACGCGTTGGGGGTCTTGCTCTTGCGGAGGTTCCTGCAAGTTACGAAGTCTTGCGGAGGTTCCTGCAAGTTTCCAGGTATCCGCCTTCTCTTCTTCGCCGCCGGGTTGGTGCATCGTCATAAAACGATATAAAATTGAAGCCGAACTCGCAGCACAAGACTTAACTCTCGCGCACTTTCCAACCTCCAGCTCTTCACTTCGAGGAGGAGGGCTCACCTTCAATCGCTCGAGTGGGCTCAAACCAGATCATTCCACATAGCTCTTCGCGTCCATCGTCTTCACGGCCTCCCACCAAACTCCACTGCCGTTCATCGGAGTCGCCAAAATTCTCCAACCAGTCCATGATATCACCCGAAGACGTCTCCAGATTGACAGAGGCGGCAGTGCAGTAGTTCCCGGTTTCGCTGCCTCCCCGTTTTTGTCTTTTCCGCCATCTGCTTCAGCATCACTGCCTGTGGCTGCGCCATTCAGGTTTGATCCTGGATCGTGGACCCTCCCAGCCACTGTGACTGTCCCAATTGGGAAGCGAAACCAAGGTGGTGATGCAACGGTTTCCTGGTCAACTCCATCCAAGCCGACCGGCCGGAAACCTGTTACCTCGACCTCTGCTACCCCGCAGGTCGAGCCAATATCAGCAAGATCCTTAATTTTCGTCTACTCATATAGCGAAGGGAACGAGCATGGGACGTCTTGGCGGATGTTGGCAAGATGCTCATGGCTATGACTGCAACGTCGCTGAGGGCTCTCCAGGTCAAAGAGGCCATCCGAATTTGGAATTCGAACGAGTTGCGAAGAAGCTCTGCGTGGATTGAAACAGCAAAGCCACACTTGAGCTCCGAATGGACATGCAGGAGGTCTCGTCCACGGCGCGCTTTCGCCCACAAAGAAGCCGAAGAATGAGACCTAGGAGCTTGATTCGCATCTTATCGGAGAAGGAAGATCAAACATGGAAATGGAAATCCGTAGCGGCTTCAGGCACCATAGTTGTAAACCCCAACGACCACGTCCTCATCTCCGTATCTTCAAGCAAGAAGACGGCAAGCAGTCGTCTCGAAGATCGCTGTTGCGATCAATCTGCTCAAAGGACTCCTCCTGATTGGCAGGAACCCAGGCATGGCTTGCTCCACCAACAAACCATGCAAGGGTACTCAAGAAAAGAAACATGAAGCTGCCGAGACTGGGGGAAGAAAGCGTGGTACCGAGGACCAGCAATGGATGTGAGCCGAGGACATTTGATTCTCAGAAATGATGGCGGCTTGACCGTATCCAGTCGATCCGTTAGAGGCGTTTCCGCACGTGTTCCCTAATGCTGAAGCCGAAGGCCTACCACGAGAAGTACTCGAGGACCTGCAAGCTCACCGACTGAAAGAGGAGATGGAATTCCTTGCCAAGAAAAAGCTCAAGGCAGAGGACTTGGCTTTGAAGGTGTTCTTCAACTTTATGGACGTTTGAAACACAGACTTGCTTATAGGAAAGAAGACCACGGCTACATCAGGGTTTACGGCAGCCTTTGTACATGGAGGAGAAACCGGAACGAGGTTGAACCTAAATGTACCCGGACACTACAAGGTTCATGACCGCCTTCGGCAAGAAGTTTGCAAGTGGAAGCTCATTTAGTGCATTGGGATTGGCAAGGAATGCATCGTTGGGAATGCACCGAGAGTCACAAAACGCTCGAACTTCTAAAAGCATGATCTTCCCCATCGCTGACTTCACTGGTGGAGGACTATCGGTACGTTGATCTTTTTGTCATCAAGGACTAGAAGGCCTTCAAGAACCTAGCTGGTATGGAAGAATCCTAGAACTCAACAAAGGTGAGATGGTGGAGTCTAACCCCCGTGAACGGCATGAAGTTCATTCAACCATGGTGATCGAGAGGTCCCCCTCACGTGTACACCAAGAGGCACAAAACTCAGTGAGGAACACACACAAGACTTCCTAGATTCTGGATTCGCCGTTGACAAGGAAACCTTGGGCGCACCAGAGGTTGAGGAGGAGGAGAGGACGCTCTGGAGCGGAAGGTGAAGTTCATGTAGCTCAACCTATCCGGAGGCCTGTGATACGTGACCCGGTTGCCCAGAAGATGATTCAGGCGATCAAGAAGGCGGAAGCACAATACAGGCGATTCTTGCAGAGCACGACCCAGAAACCACTCGAAGGTCAAAAATGACATCAAGGCTCGGGTCCTGTCTGTTATTAGGGAATTCCTGAATCAACAAATGGGCCATTGATCCAGCTTACCGCAGTCAGTTGACAGATGAGTGCTTGATTATCCCTTGCGCAGGACAACCGATATACGGCAAGCCTTTGTGGCCCCGGGGAGAGGGGCTACGTCTACGTCTGAGTTACCTAGATGACCTTATGGCCATGGCAGGGGACAGTGGGTCTCCGAGACATGGGAATGCGACAGTTTGGACATTTTGTAGTAGGACCACCCGGTACGGATTCTCGGGATGGAAGTACACAAGACTTCCAATGGCCCTTATGAACACCGATGCGACCGACCTGAACGGCCGGGAGGCGGAAGTGAAGGAGGCGCAGCGATGGGTAGGAGAACTACCGTGGTTCTCAGGCCCGATATCCATGTCACGGCGATTATGGCCTCGAGATTGACCCGTTGCCCAGACCTGGTGAACAAGCTTTTGGCCAAGACTTGTGAACTACCTGCAGCAGACGATGAAATCTCGTTGGTGGTTCTTTGACGGCGAGGAGCTGGAGCTGAGGGTGTACACCGACAGCAACATCGCTTCCGGTTCAGGAAGGTGCCACGGGTCGGCAGGAGTATCCTGTGGATCTGCTATCATTTGGAGGTCCTCCAAACAGCAGCTAGTTACTTTGAGTATGGCAGAGTCAGAACCGGTAGAGTCCATCAAAGGCACCACCCTCGCTTCATGGACTTCGGTTCCTATGCAGGAGGTCACTGGAGATGACAAGGGCATCTTCTTACACGTCGACGTTAAAGCCGCTATCTCCCTTTTGGCGGGAAGTATAGCGGAAGTTGGCAGGCCCGACATCTGCGTTTGAGGTCGACTTGGGTTCGAGAAAAGGTCGTGAAGTACATGTACGTCACGAATCGGAGTAAGTCAACGCTCAGATATCGGAATTACACAGCTGTCGAGAGAAAGACTGAATTGAAGCATTTAGCTGTTCCGTGGAACTTGAACGACCACAAGCTTATCGAAAGAACAGATAGGCCAGCAGGTGTAGATCAGCTTTGGCATGTCAAGCTTCTGATGATGTGTCAACTGTGCTGTCTGCAGAGAAACCAATCTTGGAGGCAGAGATGCTTGTAGATGTTTATTGTTGTTCTGGTGACAGCTGTGATTGGTTTGTGGGAGGGATTTACATTCTGCTTGAAGAGAAGGGAGGCGCAGATCCGAAAGGCGAACAAGATAAGAAAAAGCTGGCGATTCTGGCATTCGACAGGGCGAGCGGAATCTATGACATTCTCCGGCCCACTCATAAATGGCCTGGAAGGCGCTGGTAGCGGCATCAAGGTTTTAACCTTGTGTGAAGCAATGGAACAGTGCTGCCTGTATCTGCCTGTAAAAGTTTGAAGCACAGAGCCGGTTGCCCTGATGAAGCTGTCATTCAGGATTGCATGAGTGCTCAAAGCGAGCGTGTGGCACGACAGACCAAAGGCCTCAGAATTCGCATAAATGTCATAAGAGCAGACTGTCAAAGCTTGTGCTCCGTCTGCGCAAGCCAGAGCCTCTTCGTGCTTTGATCATGGTCCGAGGTGCAGCTTTGACTCATAATTCCTTGACCCTGGAATGAATCATCGACAAGGACAACGACAAAAGGACCCTCTTTGAGAGCCGATCACAAGACGCAACTCGTCCTGGTTCCAGGTCCCGGGCTGAGGCCCGAGCTCCGTTCCCGGTCCGAGACCGAGAGGACGAGGATGGCGCCGATGGCGCCATGGTGGCCTTGGCCTTTCCGCAAGGGCCGCAAGGAGCTTTAAAGGGCACGGCCGCCACGGCCTCCTGGGCCTGGGCCTCCACCGTGGCCGCGCTGGCCGCGCTGGCCGCGCTGGCCGCGCTCGCCTGGACCCACCTCCGCCGGGCGCAGAGCAGCACTCACGGCAACACTCACGGCACCTTTTAAGTAAAAGCTTCATTGAGGCGTCGGCACCCACGTGGTGATGAGCCGATAAGGCGGGCTCTGATCCTGAGGCAGGACTTGAGGTCTCGGACATCTGCCCTTCACGCGCAACACCAGCCCACCCCTACCCGTGGCGTGCCTTGTCCTTTTCATCCACTTGTCGGCGCGCGATGCAAGCATGGAGCGCCAAGCCGTGGCTGTCGTCGTAGGGCACCCGCTGGACCAGGATGTTCCGCGAGGTCTCAGCAGAGTCTCAGCTTCAAACAGAATTTTTGAACACATCTGAACATTGAGCCACCTGTCTTTGTGGACCCCGGCCCTCCGCTTTACACCCAATTGCGAGGTATCCACATCAGTGTCCCGTCAACGCTTCCAGTTCAGGACCGTTCGTGAAGAGTAGACGGCTCACAGCAATGTCACACCAACACGCACACTGAAGGAGCATATTGCTCAGCAGATGTTCAGTCGGGCATTCAGTCCAGTCCGGGACCACGTGTGCGCTTGGGCAGAGCATGCTGCGCACGAGTGCACGAAACGGATCTCGCAAAGGGTCTGAACCCGAAGGAGGGCGACGCCGCTTTCATGCATCAATCATCTTCACGGGAAGGGAGCCGCAACCCATCCAAGAGGCAAGGCTGAAGGAAGGTCGATGGCTCAGCTGTCACAAATACCGCATATTGCATATTCATTGACATGTCTTTGAGCTTGAATTTCCTTTCTGCCATTGTATCTTCCGAGGACATCACAAAGAGTGTGGCATCGAGGCCCTCCACCTGAGATACCAAGCAAGTGCAGATTTCAGCAGCCAAGACACGGCATGAACGTTGAGAGTTGAGGCCAGGGGAAGCACCCATGCGCACTTCTTGCAGACCTCCATGCACGCAGGATGGTGACTATAGTAGTGGTAGTGCATAACGCAGGCCATGCAAGACATCGCGGCCTCTACACCCTGATGGTCTGTCTCGGATGGCCACAGTCTCAACACCTTTCCACAGGTGCGAGCTATGAGAAACAGACATACGTGATCACGAACGGCGGTTGGCCTCCCGAATGTAAATGTCCTGCGCCCAAGCGAGTGCAATTACATAAGGAAATCAACATGCCTTTCTGTCCTTGACTTCGTTGTTGGCTTTAATGTACTTGCAGGTGTCCAGCTGCACCTCTGTCACTCAGTCACGCTGTTGCCGAAGCGAAAGCATCTGTCTCTGGCATCACCACGGGTTGTCCCCGGCCCGGAAGCATAGAGGACAAGAGGGACCGCAGGCTTTCCATAGCATTGGAGGCGAAGCGACAAGATGCAGTTCTGCAAGGCTGCAATTGATGGGGAAATTGATGTCATCGTTCTCTTCTGTTTTGTTTTGACAGTCCGCCCGACCAAAATACCAGCCTCAAGGTTCAAGCGGAAGGCTTGCCACGTCTTCAACACTCTTTTGCCTCGCCCTCCCGCTTAGCTGAGACGGAATGCGTGCGAGGTAGAGTCCTGGGGCGGTTTGGGGCGCTCTGGCCTGGTGTTCCCAGCGCCGGACCGCCTCGAGCTCTGCCTGCAGCTTCCGCAGCGGGTCGTTGCCTCCAAGGGGAGCAAACGCGCGCGCAGGCCGCCCCGCGCAGGTTCTCTGACTCGGCGCCTTCCGTGGCCAAGGCCTTGGCCTCGGAGCAGCGCCGCAGAGCGTGGTGCGTGCGTGTGTCGCCCCTGCTGCTGGGCCCCGCCCTGCTGCTGGGAGCTGGGCCAGCCATGGCGGCAGGTCGTAAGGCCCCGCGTCCAGGACGTGTTGCCATCGCCAGGCCAAGACCTGAAGCTCGCAGCGACATCCCCCCCCCCCCCCCCACCCGAAACTCAAACTGAGGACCCGTCGGCACCCCGCTGCGCAGCACCGAACTGCGAGATGATATTCATGGAACCTGCGAGATCTGCGAAAGAGAATCCGATTCTGGAAGCGTTAAACTGGGCTCCTTCCAAACCGCTGGCACCAGCCACGGCTTGCACGTCATGCCGCAGGCTGCCGGCCTCCTGCCAGAACACCAGGGCCAGGCACTGCAGTGGGCCGAAGCCAGAGAGGGAGCTTTTGGCCTGGATAGAGATGCCCTTCCAGTAGGCTCCGCCAGAGTTCACCTCACAAGACTCCGGTAACTCCGACCGTCCTCAGGCACCCAGGTCAACAAGCACGAAACGCCTCCAGACCCAGCCGGTACTCGTGACCTCAGCTCATCCCTTAAAGCCTGATGTAAACCTGTTCGGGCTCGAAACCCACGAGATCCTGCGTCGCATCTTGTGATTCCTGTCTAAGCTCTAGAGACAATCTCTCTCTACGGATACGACTGACTATTTCGGGCCGAAACGATATTGACATCCAGTGAATCAAGTGACTTTATCTAGTGTTTTGCAAGGAAATCACCTCAGGTTCTTCGCAGCGTCTGGGGAACCTGCAGGGCACAATCTCCTGAAGGGGACAATTTGATGCAAGCACCGAAGACCTAAAACTATAAGTATCGCCGGAGTCCTCGCTGTGGAGCAAAAAGCTTTGACCATCGTAAGCCTCTTCGGGTCGTATGGCATCAATATTGACAGCAGTTTCACACAAATCTGAGCCTCCAGGAAGGAGTCAAGGTACGTTCCCCCGGAGATGACCTCTCAACACAGCGAGTGCCCGTTGTTATCTTTGCCCCCCCCCCCCCCCCCCCCCTTCGCCTCCTCCACCTCTGCAGGCAGACGCTCCCGGCCCTCCGCCTGGCGCCTGGGCGAGGATACGGATGCCACCTTGGCATTTTGGGAACCGCCCTCCAGCGCTGCAGCGCCCTCCGTCCGAGCCGCCTCTCCAGCGCCTGTCTCCTCGCGACATCGCTTTGCACGTTCGCGTTGCACGTCGCTTTGCGTGTTTGTTTCCCGCGGCACCTCAAAGCTTCCCGACAGCTCTCGAGGTGCCGCTGACTGGCCCGAAAGACGTCGATGACGGCCTCGAGCTTCTCCTCCAAAGATCCACCCGGCCTTAGCTGCTTTCGTTCTGCAGTTCATGTTCAAGATGTGGGGGAGGGGGCATGTCTCCGAGGCTTCGGCGCACGACTTTGCTCGAGGAGGTCCTCGCTCATGCCGGGCACGGAGCCCGCCTCGTAACCCAAATCCTGGGCCCGGGCCCCCCTGCTGCCCACCTCAGCTCAAGAGCAAGCTGAGCTCAAGAGCTCAAGCTCTGCTGCGGGAAACCGAGCTCTGAGCCCACATGGGCGTGGCCGACTGTGGCGCAAAGCCGCAGGACTTCTTCACATCCTGGACCTCACTGGAACTCCTCTGACTCTCTGTCACTTGTTTGCATTGGTTCTTCAGGCAGACACCCAAACCCACCATGCGCTCTTCGCCATCGTTGGCGCGGCTCTGGCTCGATAACACACTCTTGGGAACTCTGTTTTCAGGACGTCTGCTGGCTGCAATCTCTGTGGACCTTGTAGTGCCTGATGCTGCTGACATGAAACACCACTATCCGACGAGCCTTCGAACGAACGTCGGGACTAACTTCCGAACGCCATGATGCCCAAGAACCGGCTTCCGGGCGCATGTGCCGAATCCGGATCTGCAGCATCTCTGATCCTTTCCTGCTCTCCAAGACGACCTCGACGAGCAGTGCCCGTCGGCCCGTCTTCGCCAGGTGCCGACCTTGGACCTCAAGCTCCTGTCCTCCGTGCGCCTCTCAGCCGCTCAGCTCAGCTCCTCCTGCGTCGTCGCTGCGTCGCTCTCCGAGGATTTGCGCTCAGCGCCAGTTTCCAGCTCTTCCGCGGCCGTTGTTTCCGCCATTACCTCTCCCGTAGCCGTAGCTGCTGCCACCGTTGTCCCAGCTGTTCCAGCCCCCTCCGCCACCTCCCCAATCGCCTGCACCGCGGTATCCCATGCTGTTGCCAATCTGGTCCTTCGAAACGAAGAACTTATCCAGCTGGCTCAAGCGTCCCCTTGCAGGGCCAGGAGACATGACTCAACTCAGCCAGAAGACTTTGCACGGCCAAGCCTGAAGCTGTGGAACTTCGTCTCGAAGAGTTTGATGTTCTCGTTGACAACATCTTCCTTAGGAAGTGATAAGACAGTTGCGACAGAATCCTGCAGTAATCCATGGGACTGATCGTGTCAAGCAACCTTGTCCAGGATTCCTTCCTTGGTTCCATGAATTAGATTTTGCCCGACGGAGCACATGCGCAGAGAATTTGTCGAGTTGCCGCAACCTGTAGGCATTGCTTTTCCTCACTGGCGCATGCAGAAAGCTCTTTACGCACGGGTACTGGTCAAATTTGCAGCTCCGACACCATGTAGGCTCGGATGGGCGGCCGGCACAACTCTGCATCCAGCTCCTGGCCACCACATGCTCAATACAGAGTTAGTGGCGGGTGAGCACCGTGAACCTTGGCGCTGCGATTGCAAGTGCACCGGCGGGGGGGGGGGGTCGGGCCGGACGTGGAGGGAGCCGATCGTGGAAAGGTGTTGCATGTTTGTACGGGAAGACAGTTTTCCAGTTGGAACAGCGGCGCACGTGCCCTCCCGAAGGTCCTTCTTTCCCAACAAAAGAATTGTCGGGCTGTCCAGCATTGTTGTCTTGTTTGCCAGACCTCCGGTTTTTGGAGGTGGCGCTCTTCTGCATGTGGGTTTGTTGTGCAAGGCACGCGCGATGGTTGCACCTCTCCGCGGGCCTGACGCCAGCCTGGTTGAAGCGCCTGCTTAGCATCGTCAGATCAATGAGGTCGAGCAAGCTCCGCGTTGCAAGGCCCGAGTTCTCCTTGTGCGAACTGTCATACTCGGGCAAGCATCCAATGGTCCAACACCGTGGCTCAGCTTTTTGCGCCCTCCCTGATGTCGCATCTTTCTTGGAGCATCTGATTGTGACGCGCAACATGCATGGTCGAAGTTGCTCATGCTTCGAACGCATTCATCGTAACACAAGCCTGAAATTGACGAACCTTCAAAGCATAGTCGCGGCCCCGTGCGAAGCGCACACCCGCTATTCGCGGGATGTCCTTTGGTGTCCTCCGGGATGTTTCATCCCCCGAGGCTCGGTTCACAGTACAAGGGGGGATCCAGTCACCCTCTCGATTGGTGAAAAGCTATAAATGGTGACCGGCATACTCCCCCTTTTCCAGTGCTCCATCGGCTCCAGTCAGGCAGCTGCAACAGGAACAACGCAGACTTAAAGCAGGCTTCCCCACACTACACATGCAAGCCGGAACTGAGGGCCGGACCAAGGCTGACTGTACAGTACAACATGACTGTCCAAATCATGCAAAGCAACTAGTTAAGTACACATCCCCCCCACGCGTGGGTTTAAATGCCTTGGCTGCACTGGAATTTTACTGGTGAGAGCAAGCATGCACGGCCCCCCCTTGGATGCTCTGAAACGTAAAATGAAGTACATGAGCCCCCCCAACGGCATTCAATAGGGGCCATGTTTCCCGCAAAATGCCGCCTGGAGTCGGCGTCGCCTATGGCTCCCTCCGTCATCGTCGTCTTGACGCGGACTTCGGAAGCGTGCTCTTTCACTGCGCGGCTCAGGTCTCCCCCCCGCGGAGGTGCTTGCCACGGTACCGTCGTGGCTTGGCTTTCGCTTTGAGTGGGTAACGTGGCCATCTCCCCACTGCGTTGACGGCATGTTGCAAGCTAGCCGTCATCATGTCACCCTTTCGGTGTGCCGCCAAAGCTCCATCCCCCCGACTGGGAGTATTTGGCTGGTTCTTGTCCGGCTCGAGCTCGGTCGTTGTCGGCTCGACAGTGTCGCGAACGCCTCCGGGTTACCCTCGGGATGCTCGGGCTGCTCGATGTGGTTTGGTTGAGCTCCCCGTGCTGGTCGGTGAGCTGCTTCCTCTTCTGTTTGTGTGCTTTGGTGCACTGCATGGCATCCCCCAAAAAGAGTCTGTTGCCGCGATTCTGCATCCCCCCAGGCCTTGAGTGGGGAAAGTTTTCAGCCATTCTGAGGGCGATGGCGCAGATATTCGCGATGATCTCTCCATCTCGGTTTCCCAGTCCATCTGCAATCTCATGGATCATCTGAACCTGTGCTAGCGCTAGCGCCGCCTCAATTGCTCCCCGTTGCGCTGCCAATCTTGCCTGCGCTCCCGGGGGGTCCGAGGAGCTAGTCGCTGCCTCCTGCCTGGGCTCGCTTCGTCGTCTGCGGTGCTTCCCCCATAGTGGTGAGCGCCGGCGTCGTCGCACCAAGCCCGCATTCTCCTCGTCCGTGGTCGTGCCGTTCAGGTACTCCCCCGATTCGTGGTTCGGACATGCCGCCGGTGGGTTCGTGGGCGTAGTGGTAGTCGAGGTCGTTGTGTGAGGGCGGGTGGTACCACGATGTGGGGGCTGGGGCTTGTGCTTGGGCTGCTGCCGCTGCTGCTGCCTGTTGAGCTCGAGCGTCGCAAGGTCCGGCCGTCGGAGAGTGGATCTCTTGGGGCTTGCTGTTGGTGTTCCGGTGGTTGCTGTGGTTGTGTTGTGTCGTGTTGGGCTTCTTGGGATGGTGTGGAGTGGGTTGCCGGATGGTCGTCGGCTTCCTCTCGGGTGTTCTCTCTCTCTCTCTCTCTCTCTCTCTCTCCCTCTCCCCTGGAGAGAGAGAACGCTTGCATGATGTTATGCCACAATTCCTCCTCACAATGGTCTACATTCAGAGGCTGCCGCTGTGGATGCCAGCTTGTTGCTGTAAGCCTGCCCCATTGGAAGGCAAAGGTGGGAGATTTCTCGCCGCGAGACAGCCGCTTGCATGTAGCGAGTGACAGGGCGGGAAAAATGTGGAAAAGGCCCCCGTGCGGCTTGTGTGGCTTTTTCTGCATCCTTCTTGAGCATTGCCCCTGCCTGGAGCCTTTTGAAGCGAGCTGCTTTCTAAACGCCGGTCACGTACCATTACCTGCGTTTAGCTCCAGCCATAGGCCCTGCCCTGCCCTCCTCGAAAGCTGCGCAGAAGCTGAGTCCCAGTGGTGTCGGAACCTCTGCTCAAGGATTTCTTTCGTCTTGGAAACAACATTGGACAGTGCATGCTTGCATTGAGACTGGCGCCATGTGCCGCGACTGCGGCTTCTCGCCGCCTTGAGCCTTTCCGTCTTTGCCTTTGCCCTCTCAAGGAATGTCAAAGGCGAAGGCACGGCAACAACGACACCCTCCTGGCGCCTTCCCCTTGCCTTTCTTGCCTCCCTTTGGTATTCTCTCGCCACGCTGGCCGTCTTCTCCAGGTCCGCAGACCATCACATAGTTCCGGTTGCAGATGTTCTCCTCAGAAAGAGCTAGGATTCACGATGCTTCCAAGCAACAACTCTCAGCTCAGGCACCACGTGCTGCGGGATGCTGGCATCCGTGCCAATGCCGTGCTTGTCCATCAGAGCCACCAGCTCACTCTCCTTCCTCAGCTCCATGTAGCTTCCTAGCAACGATTCAGAGCCTGTTGCGAGCTCCTGGCAAGTAGTCTGGGGGCTTTGTGAAATCGCTCTCGACCCAAACCTCCTCCACACGGAGAGGGCTCCCTGGTGCCAGCCGAGGCATGGCCCAGTCGATCTCGTTGAGATTTAGCTCTTTGCTCTTCCAAGGCATGGCGAAGAGGAAGCCCCTCCCACGGTCAATGAGACGGTTTGCGGGAGCATTGGCCGCATTCAAGGCTTCAAGACGGCAAAGCGGCCTCTCCCGCATCTCGTGGAATGTGTAAGCAAAATCTTCGCCACCCATGTTCACGATCAGGGCCTTCGGAAGCTCTCGGCAAGCTGCACTGTGTCCAAGAGTCCGGATCCTTCTCGTCATACTCCACATCCGGCATCAGTGAGGCGATGAAGTGCCTCATGAGGAGGTTCTTGTGTCCACAGGGCGAATCTGGCTGTTGAACACTTGGACAGTCGTCGCGGTCTCTAGAAATTCCAACAAAGACCAGAAGCTGACACCTGGCCTGGTGATGAAGTCGTAGAGTCGCCACTCAGATCCTCCCAGGGCCCAAACCCCTTTTCCCACCCTAGCCCTGGTCCCTGGTCGCCCTGTGGCACCAGGCCACCGTGTGGCCCACTAGCGGGACGGCTGGCCTTTGCTGAACTCGTCCCGGGGCGCGGCCTTCATAGGAGTAATGGGTGGGTGGTCCCCCACATCGCGGCCAGTCTTCGGGTTCCGGATCTGCCCTTGGCGCAGCAAGTGGCTCACCGTCTTTCCCCAGGCCGGATGGTCTGCTTGCTCTCGCAAGGCTGCGTGAAGGTCGAATGTGTCCGAGTACCTGCAGAGCAGAACCCAGCGCAGCGCTGCAGCGCTGCAGCGCTGCTCTGGAGAGAGGTTACACAGCCGGAACCTGGTGGCCTGGTGGTCTCGGTGCGGGGATAAGAGATGTAGCCGGAGGTGTAGAGATGCTCAGCCACCTTCATACACTGCACCGGTGACATTCCTCAGTTTGGGAGCGGCCGCAAGCCTCTCAAAGCTAAGCTGCAAAGCTGCACAGCGACTGAGTCGAGCGGCCGAGACCAGTACTCGCAGCTTTCAGTAGCTGCACGGTGTTCAGGCCTCTGCAGTGAATACCATGGACAACGCGCTGCCCATTGCCTGCGACCTATTTTGCATGCCCTGATATCAGGCAAGAGGGCGCGGCCAACCGGCTTCTTCAGGGTCTTGGCAGTCGTCCTTCGATTCGAACTGTTACCATCTCCCGCTTCGCACTTCGCGACCTGGCCTGAGCTCCTTGACGACCGCGTGCTTCGCCGACTGAGCCGACTGCAAGGATTTCACGCGACCTTCACAGTCTCCAAGCACTGGTCCAACCGCAACCGCCCGCTGCGCACGCGCGCCTGCATCAAAGGTCTGGCCATGGAGCCAGTCGAACTCCAAAGGCCAGCCGTCCAAGTTCACAGAAATCTTGGGCTTGTAGAACTCTTGCCTCGACAGCGTGCCCCACCCCCCTCCCCCCTGTCCCCTCCCACTCCGCCTCTGGAAGCTTTGAATCTCCTTGTGCCTCTCGACGCCTCTTTGGGATCAGCATGTAATCTTGTGCCGGAACCTCGCCCGACCTTCCTTGAGCGCCCAGCAAAACCAAAGTGTGGGTGTCTGGCAAGGCCCGTAGCTCAAGCAAGTCTGATCTCGCAGGCGGAACCTCGACTCTCGACTCATCCAAAGCAGAATTCTCAGGGCTTTTTGCCCTCAGCCCCTCAGCTTTGGAAAGGGACTTCTCTACTGCGTAGCGCAAATACTGGCGAGTCATGAGCCGCGTGAAGATGCAGCCGATCTTCAGGTCTAGCTCCTGCCGCTCTGCACTTCCCGTTCCGCACTTCACAACATGCGAACCAGCCCGTCCTGCCGAGCATCCACCTGGGTCCACACACACAGAGACAGACCCGCTTGGCCTGTCTGGAGCTGAGGCATCCACGGCTTGGGCCGCCAGCTTGTCCGGCCGGCCCAAGTTGTTGTAGGCGCCTCTCCGCCCGCGCAGAGCGAAGAGTCTATTGCAGGCCAACTCACCGGTCGCCTCGCAGCTCCGGCTCAGTTAAGGCGGAGAACTGGGCCCTGCGAGCGATAAGAGCCGCAGAAAGACGCGTGACATCGGAGCTTTCCGAGCTCCGACCCTCTATGCTCTCCACTAGCCGGGGCCTGTAGATGTTATCGCGCGGGATGTTCTCGCCTGGATAGCTTCAGCGTAATGTTCTTCGGGTCTCCGTGCGGTCTGTGGCCGGCACACAGAGAGATGACCTCGAAGCAGATGTTCTCTCCCTGGTTGCGGCAGCACTGGAGTCTGTAACTTCACAAGCACCAAAACAATTTTCAGCGCTCAACTGCGGCTCCGTGTGCCGCGCCCCGCACCTCCTTGTCGCAGTCCAGCCAGAGCGCTAAGTAGTCGGCTTCTGCCGCCAGCTCCTGGGGCGGGGGGTGGCCTGCTTGGCGCTGGCCGGGCCAGGAAAGGGTGAACTTCTGCTCTCCTGGAAGTGCTCGACGATCCTGTTCTTAGCCTTGGTGAAGGAATGCTGCAATGCCCCGTAATGTCAAGGTCTGAACCGCTTGAATGCGCCACCACGCAACCGTGCCATCTTCGATGGTCTTCTTGCACGGATCATGAAACAGTTCCGCAATATCTTTTGGGCGATTTTCCTTGAAGTCCAATCCTTGGTGCAATGCTCCACAACCTCTACTGTGTCAGAAGCTGCCCAAACACCAGGTTCCAGTGTCTTTCCAGTCTTGACATCTTCTGCACTGCCAAGTTTCCAAATACGTGGCCGATGGTGGAGGTCTGTCGGACCCGATGCAGTCAGTGCTCATGCTCAGGGTGTTACGTGTTGCTTCCTCGTGGTGTGCCTGCTAGAGTCTGGTAGATCACGCTCCATGATCCAGCATTACTTCACTAGCAACGACTCGATTTATTCCCACACTCCGCGGCCTGCATGATCCGACACTGTTGATGTGCTGGCGGAAACCAGCTGTTGAACTCGTAGATTTGCACGGCTCGGCTTTGGCCTCGGCGGCTGGAGCCAAGTCCAAGGTACAGAACCACGTGGAACCACTGCTGGCCTTTGCGAAAGCGCATGCGGCCCCCAGACAAGATCTCCGCAATCAGTTTAGCTACGGAAGGTTTTTCGGCGACCATCAGGACCTCGAACGCGGTTTTGCTCTTGAGAAAAACCTGTCGGAATGCATCGAAACCTTCGGCAAGTTGTCCCAGCGCGAATCGTTCCTCGGCACAGCAGAACTGATGGCTCAGCCGGGCGCTGAGGCGGCCACGGGACCTGGGGCCGGGGCTGCTGGGACTGCTGTCGCCTCCACAGCATCCGATCAACGACCTCGCAAATCGCAATTAAAAAACATGAATCGCAACAAAGTGGCCGTGGAAGATACTGGCTTCAAGGGGACCGTGCTGTACCCCGACAGTTTCTCATAGGGCAGAAAGTGTGCGCAAGATGCGAAGTGCATGGCACGCATGTGCGCAGACAGATACAGAGCCAGACACGACAAAGAAAAGGGCAGAAGGAGAAGAACAAGGAGAAGGAAAAAGAGAAAGAGAAGGTGAAAGAAAAGGGGCAGGAGCAGGAGAGGGAGCGCGAGGAGGAGGAGGAGGAGGAGGAGGAGGAGGAGCAGTAGGGAGAAGGGAGACAGGGAGAGAGCGAAACAGAGGGAGAGAAACAGAGAAAGGGAGTGACCCCCGAACGTCACTTCTGCGCGGCGGCAAGCAAGCCATGCCGCTCAATCTAACGAGATTTGCAGCCCGAAGACCCTTGCCAAAAAAGCCACCCAGCCAGCAGTGAGCTGCAGTGGCTGGGGTTGACGAACAATCCCTCAATCAGAAAGAAAATGAAGATTTGAGAACACGACTGTATAAGCATGGCAAGCAATTTCTTTCTGTAAACGCGCATTGGAACATGCCAATGGCCAATGCAGTTCGCCTGCCGTATCAGCAGGAGTGTACTTTCCTCGTTGACCACAGTGTTGTGTGTGAAACGTCTCCGGGCCTGACGACCTCTCAAGGAAATCAGAACCTTTGTTTTTTCTGCTGGACTGTAGACCAGGACCACTGGCAGCACGGGCATGCTCTGCCCCCGGCAAACAACTCTAAGCATGACGAACGTATTGCAAGCCTACCCTTTCAGCCGTTCATGGCAAAACCACAAGCGATTCAGACCTGAGTTGATTATCATTCGTTTCACATCCATCAGGAAGAGACTCCAAGTTAGGAGGAGCGGCAGACTTTGCCAAGGTCATGACCTTTCCCATGAGAGCCAAGCGGCTTGGTCAAACAGTCAGCGAGCAGGTAGATCTCGGGAAGCCAATATCGACGTCAGCTCCAGGCGCTTCGCCAACACGGCAAGCACGGCCACGTCGATTCGCGCCTCTCGGCACAGTCCGCCGCGACGATGGAACAAGCCGTAAAGTGCCCGAACGTCGGCGATGAGGATCGCCTCCGCTGTCGGCTCAGTTTGTCTGACCACCGCCACTGAATCATCAGGCCTAAACTAAAGGCTCAAATCGGCCGCGGCTGATCCAGGAACAACTGCACCTCTGTGAAACTCGCCCGGATCCACCCCAGCTCGGCAAGCCCATCGTCCGTTGCCAAGGCCTCCGAACCCGAGGTGGAAAACTTGATCGGGGCGAGCTCCTCCTCAATGCCATCCATCAGCTGAGCATGTCCTTGCAGAAAGTCGTCCAACACAAGAAGGACGATCCCAGCACATCCCCTCGCCTTATGAGCCATGTCCAACTGCTTAATTAAGTTCCGCAGGATCATAACGCAGGCAGAAAAGACAGGGATCAAACACTGCGGATTCTGTGTACCCGAAGCAAGCAAAGCAAGACCTTTCTCACCGTGCGCTTCGCTTCCACGACAACGGGGCGTAGACACGCTCGCACAGCTCGTGCGAGCACCTCGATTAACGCACACGACGGGCATCCAGGGATGCCTGTCTTCGGAAGATACTGTATGCTTCCAATGGCCCCGGCCGGCCATGGCCTCGACTCCAAGGCTGCACCAACACCCTATCGGAATACCAAGGTGGACTCCGAGGCCCATGCCAGTCAAAAGTGAAGGGAGCAAAGGCAAGCCCATCGAGAACGAGCCCAACGCAAACACTAACCACGTCGGCATCCCGCCAGGCCCAGCAGCCTCTGCGGATGGGTAGATGGCCCTCCCTACGCATCGGTGTGGCGAAGACCTATGTTTTCTGGCCTCTATCCTGTTTGCCACGTAACTGTGTGGTCTTAGATGGGAGGCGCCGGCGCTGCCAAAGGCAAGGGTGCAGGAACTGGGCGAGCAGTTCCTGCCTCAGCCGGCTCCTCAATTCCTTGCGCTTGCCATCATGGATACGCGCGCAGTGCATGATCAATGGTGGCGGTCCGTCGCACTGCACCATCCTCTTTGAAACTAATTACGCAGAAGCATTACTGATGTCCGGGCAAGCATCCTTCATCAAGGGTTCGACCTGAGTATGGATTGCCCGCAGCAATATGTTCAGGCTGATAGCTCGGACGTATCTGATGTTAGTTGTGCAGTGGATCTCCTCTCGGCAAATATCCAGTCTTCGAAATGTGATGGGCCCGATTGTTTCTCGCAACATCAGCTGATCCACGGTGTGTGAGGGTTGCCTCCCCAGTCTGCCAGAAGTGGGGAGTACCAGTATGCGCAGCACCCGCGAAACAGCAAAGCTCCGCGAAACATCAAGGCAGGCGAGGTACTGACAAACATCTATCGTACCTTGAAAATCACAAAACCTTCACCTCCGTGCCAACAAATCGTACTTCTTAGCGCTGAGCCACGACCAGAACCACGGCAACACATCGTGCTTCTTAGCACTGGGCCACCGCTTCGGGGCCAGAGCCACGGCAAGAAATCGTACTTCTTAGCACTGGTACACCACTTCGAGTCCAGAGCAGCCCATGGTGCATATGCATCTGGAATAGCTCAGAAAGCGCAGACAGATCTTTGCCGTTGAAAAAAGAGGAATTTGAATGTGTCTGTCTGCATGTGTTTTGTGTGAGGCTTTGCAGATGAAAGGGCTGGAAGGCCCTTTTCACAAAGGGAAGGGGAAGGGAGAGGATGGAACAGGAATGGGAGAGGGTAGAAAGGGGAGGTGGGGGTAGGGGTCGTGTGGGGTGGTGGGGTGGGGTTGTATGGGGTGTGGCGCGGGGAATAGTAAAGCAGATCCAAAAGTGTATACACTTTTGGGGCTGCCGACCCAAAAGTGTATACACTTTTGGCTTGCTTTACAAAAATTTAGCCCCCGAAACCCGCCCCCTGGGAAAGTAAATTTACAACCCAAATTTACACCCCAAAAGGGTGTAAATTCGTAGGGGGGAGTAAAGTGTAAATTTACACCCATTGCATCTATCAGGCGATGTAACGCCCATTACGTAGAGCTCGTAGCGGAGACGGCACATCCCTGAAATCGGTGGCCGGTTGTCAAGCGTCCGCACTCGTCCTGTGTGGCGCCGTGCTGTTGGGCTTGAATGCCGTGGCTCTGGCATCAAAGTGGTGGCCCCGTTTGTTGCCGTTGCTCTGGCCTCGACGTGGTGGCCCAGTGCTAAAAGAAGTACGATGTGTTGCCGTTGCTCTGGCCTCGAAGTGGTGGCCCAGTGCTAAGAAGTACGATGTGTTGCCGTTGCTCTGGCCTCGAACTGGTGGCCCAATGCCAAGAAGTACGATGTGTTGCCGTTGCTCTGGCCTCGCAGTCGTGGCTCAGCGCTAAGAAGTACGATGTGGCTCTGGCCTCGAAGTGGTGTCCCAGTGCTAAGAAGTACGATTTGTTGCCGTGGCTCTGGCCTCGAAGTGGCGCAGTGCTGAGAAGTACGATTTGTTGCCGTTGCTCTGGCCTCGAAGTGGTGGCCCAGTGCTAAGAAGTACGATTTGTTGCCGTGGCTCTGGCCTCGAAGTCGTGGCCCCGTTTGTCGCCGTGGCTCTGGCCTCGAGTGGCCCATGGCCCAGTGCTAAAAGAAGTACGATTTGTTGCCGTTGATCTGGCATCGAAGTGCTTTCCCAGTGCTAGGAAGTACGATTTGTTGTTGTGGCTCTGGCCTCGATGTCGTGGCTCAGCGCTAAGAAGTGCGATTTGTTGCCGTTGCTCTGGCCTTGAAGTGGTGGCCCGAAAAAGCATAAGTCAAATAAAAGAAAATCCTTTAGTTTGGAAAGGAAACTGCATAGGGTTATATCAAAAGTATATAGCTTTCTTATAAAAATCTATGAATTGTGGTTGAAAGTGCATAACTCTGCTGCAACAAAGAAGAAAATCCTTTAGTTTGTAAAGGAAAATGCATATGCTTGTATAAAAAGTATATAGCTTTCTTTAAAAATCTAGAAGTTTTGGTTGAAAATGCATAAATATGGTACATAATCAAAGAAAATCCTTTGGTTTGGAAAGGAGCATCTTGTTTTTCTATAGAAAGATGTTGTTTTCCTTAATAATCTAGGAATTGTCGTTGAAAACTCATAAAATATCACGAAATTAACAGAAAATCCTTTAGATTGGAAAGGAGAAATGTATTGATTTTCTTGCTAAAAATCCAGGAGCTTGCTTTGAAAATGCGTGAAATATGCGTAATAACAGAAAATCAGGGTGCTTGGAAAGGAACATGTTGTTTTTCTTTATAGAACTGTATTGTTTTTCTTTAAAAATCTAGGAATTTCAATTGAAACTGCATCAAGATGCTACAAAATCACAGAAATCCTTTAGTTTGGAAAGGAAAATGTTGTTTTTGTTGAGAAATGTATTGTTTTGTGTTGAAAAATACAGGAATTTCCTTTGAAGCTGGATCAAAATGCCACAAAATGGCAGCAAATCCTCTAGTTTGGAAAGGAAAATATTGATTTTGTTTTAGAAATGTATTGCTTTTCCTTGAAAATCTAAGAATTTCTTTTGAAACTGGATCAAAATGCAACAAAATGGCAGCAAATCCTTTAGTTTGTACAGGAAATATTGATTTTGTTTTAGAAATGTATGGTTTTTTCATGAAAAATCTAGGAATTTCCTTTGAAACTGCATCAAAATGCAGCAAAATGACAGCAAATCCTTTAGTTTGTACAGGAAAATGTTGCTTTTGTTTTAGAAATGTATGGTTTTTTCATGAAAAATCTAATAATTTCCTTTGAAATTGCATCAAAATGCCACAAAATGACAGCAAATGCTTTAGTTTGTAAAGGAACATGTTGTTTTTGTTTTAGAAATGTATTGTTTTTTCTTAAAAAAAACTAGGAAATTCCTTTGAAAATGCATCAAAGTGCCACAAAATGACAGCAAATCCTTTAGTTTGGAAAGGAAAATCTTGTTTTTGCTTGAGAGATGTATTGTTTTTTCTTGAAAACTCTATGAATTTCCATTGAAACTGCATAAAAATGCAACAAAATCAACAAAAATCTTTTAGTTTGTACCGGAAAATGTCGTTTTTATTTATAGAACTGTATTGTTTTCTTTAAAAATCTAGGAATTTCCTTTGAAACTGTATCAAAATGCAGTTTGTACAGGAAATATTGATTTTGTTTTAGAAATGTATGGTTTTTTCATGAAAAATCTGGGAATTTCCTTCGAAACTGCATCAAAATGCCACAAAATGACAGCAAATCCTTTAGTTTGTGCAGGCAAATGTTGTTTTTAGAAATGTTTGGTTTTTTCTTGAAAACTCTATGAATTTCAATTGAAACTGCATAAACATGCAACAAAATCAACAAAAATCTTTTAGTTTGGACCGGAAAATGTTGTTTTTCTTTATAGAACGGTATTGTTTTCCTTTAAACAATCTAGGAATTCCCTTTGAAACTGCATCAAAATGCTACAAAATGGCAGAAAATCCTTCGATTCGGCAAGGAAAATGTTCCTTGTTTATAGAGATGTATTGATGTTTTTCAATTAATCTGGTAATTTGACTGAAAATTTATACATTAAACAATGCAAAATTTGGCTTGGTTTTTTAATGTTTCAATGAAAATGTTTAAATTTCTATTGAAGAATGCAGAATAAGTTTTTGTGTATTTATCAATGAAATTTTATAATTCTTTATTGAAAGATGCAGAATTTGGCTTGTTTTTTTTATTTTTCAATAAAAGTGTATAAATTTTCATTGAAAAATGATAAAAAAAACCAGCCAAATTCTACATTTAACGCAGGAAACCCAAACCGCACCACACCACACCACAGGGGGGAGTCGGGTAACCAGCCTCCACCGAACCACACCACACCACAGGGAGGGGGAAGCAACCCACAACCACACCACACCACAGCAGACCCACACAAGAAACCCAAACCACACCACACCATAGGGGGGGAGTGGAGTAACCAGCCTAAGCAGACCCACTCCCGAACCACGCCACACCACACCACACCACACCACACCACACCACACCACAGGGAGGGTGAAGCAACCCACAACCACACCACACCACAGGGGGGAGTGGGGTAACCAGCCTAAGCAGACCCACTCCCGAACCACACCACACCACACCACACCACACCACAGGGAGGGGGAAGCAACCCACAACCACACCACACCACAGGAGGGGGAGGAGGAACCATTGGGGGGGGGGAGGGGGGGGGGCCTCTCGAACCGGGATCATATATACACTTTCGCCGAAAGTGTATACGCTTTCGACAAAGGTGTATACACTTTCCGCGAAAGTGTATACACTTTCGGCGAAAGTGCATACACTTTCGGCGAAAGTGTATACACTTTCGGCGAAAGGCGAAAGTGTATACACTTTCCGCGAAAGTGTATACACTTTCCGCGAAAGGGCATACACTTTCGGCGAAACTGTATGCGTTTTGACCGAAAATGAATTCATTTCGAATACAAATTGTCATTTTTGCTTGAAGTGCATAGATTTTCGGTATAAAAAATCTAAATCTTAACAACAATTTATATTTCTTGTTTGTGAAATGCATAGATTTCTTAAGAAACACATAACTTTTTCAATAAGAATGCTTAGATTTTCTTCTAGAGCAGTCACTAATTTCAACAAAAATGCATCAGTTTTACACTCAAAACCGTAAGGCCGAAACCAAAACCCTAAGCCCCAAACCCAAAAACCGAAAGCCCTAAGTCCCCAAACCCAAAGAACCCTCACACCCGAGACCGAACCCCAAGCCCAAACACCAAAAAAACTAAGCCCAAAACCCCAAACCCGAAGCACGAAACCAAAAAAACCCGAAGCCCAGAACCAAAAACCCTGCCCCAAAACCCAAATCGTAAAAGCCCGAAACCAATAACCCTGAGCCCCAAACCGAAATCTTAAGCCCCAAGCTCAAAAACCCGGAGCCCCAAACCCCAAACACTCAGCCCCAAACCCAAAAACCCTAAGCCCCACCCAAAACACTGAGCCCCAAACCCAAAACCCTCAGCCCCAAACCCAAAACACTAGACCAAAACACCGTAAGCCCAACCACAAAAGTCTAAGCTCTACACACCGAAACCCTGAGAGCCAAGCCCCAATCCCACAACCCTAAGCCCGAAACCCAAAAACCCTAAGCCCTATTCCAAAACCTAAGCCCACCGCAAACCCAACAAACTGTCATGTACCCGAAACCCAAACCCCAAGCCCAAACACAAAAAAACCTGAGCCCGAAACCCAAAACCCTAAGCGCAAAAATATCAAAACCCCAACCCCTGAACCAAAACCCTGCCCCAAAACCCAAATCCTAAAAGCCCGAAGACCAAACACTGAGGCCTTCGCCCAAAACCCTAAGCCAAGCCCCGCGCCCGAAATCCTGAAGCCCCAAACCCAGGACACTAGACGCAAACCCAGAGTCCTAAGCCCGAAATGCAAAACCCTAACCCCAAAACTCCAAAACCGCAAGCCATAAACTCAAGACCCTAAGCCCCAAACCCAAAAACCCTAAGCCCAAACCCAAGACACTATAGACCCAACCCCGGAACCCTAACCCGAAAACACAAAACCTTAAGCCTTAAACCCTAAAACCCTACGCTTAAGCCCAACGCCCCAAAGCCCTCAGCTTTAAACTCAAAACCGTAAGGCCGAAACCAAAACCCTAAGCCCCAAACCCAAAAACCGAAAGCCCTAAGTCCCCAAACCCAAAGAACCCTCACACCCGAAGCCGAACCCCAAGCCCAAACACCAAAAAAACTAAGCCCAAAACCCCAAACCCGAAGCACGAAACCAAAAAAACCCAAAGCCCAGAACCAAAAACCCTGCCCCAAAACCCAAATCGTAAAAGCCCGAAACCAATAACCCTGAGCCCCAAACCGAAATCTTAAGCCCCAAGCTCAAAAACCCGGAGCCCCAAACCCCAAACACTCAGCCCCAAACCCAAAAACCCTAAGCCCCACCCAAAACACTGAGCCCCAAACCCAAAACCCTCAGCCCCAAACCCAAAACACTAGACCAAAACACCGTAAGCCCAACCACAAAAGTCTAAGCTCTACACACCGAAACCCTGAGAGCCAAGCCCCAATCCCACAACCCTAAGCCCGAAACCCAAAAACCCTAAGCCCTATTCCAAAACCTAAGCCCACCGCAAACCCAACAAACTGTCATGTACCCGAAACCCAAACCCCAAGCCCAAACACAAAAAAACCTGAGCCCGAAACCCAAAACCCTAAGCGCAAAAATATCAAAACCCCAACCCCTGAACCAAAACCCTGCCCCAAAACCCAAATCCTGAAAGCCCGAAGACCAAACACTGAGGCCTTCGCCCAAAACCCTAAGCCCCAACCCCAAAACCCTAAGCCCCAAACCCAAAACACTAAGCCCCAAGCCCGAAATCCTTAAGCCCCAAACCCAAAACACTAGACCAAAACCCCAAAGCACACTAAGCCCGAAATACAAAACCCTAAACCCTAAACCCCAAAGCCCTAAGATATAAACCCAAACCGTAAGCCATAAATCCCACAAAACCCGTAGCCCAACACCTAAAACCCTAAGCTCCCAACCCCAAAACCCTAAACCCAAAAGAGCTTCGGGCATAGGGTTGTGGGCCTGGGGCTTTGGTCTAGTGTTTTGGGTTTGGGGCCTAGACGGTTTTGGGTTTTGGGCTTAATATTATGGGTTTGGGGCACAGGGTTTGGGGTTTGGGGCTTACAGCGTTTTGGTTTTTGGGCTTAGGGTTTTGGGTTTGGGGCTTAGGGTTTGTGGTTTGGGGCTTTGGTTTGTGGGTTTGGGGTTTAAATTCTTGACAAAAACATCAATTCAGGGCAGGGATTTGGAAACAACCAACATTTTCTGAGCAAGCTGAAAAACAAACCGAAACTTTTTGGTTTCTCATAAAGTTTTGTTGAAAAGCGTGATTTTCACAAAATTCTACAATTGCTGGAGCGGTCAATGGCTTGTGTTGAATAACAAAACAGTTTTACGACTAATTAATACAACATGTTTCTGCAAGCGACGAAAATATTCATTAAACAAATTTAATTTTTTCATGAAAGTCCCAGAATTTGAGGAACCAATATCAAGATAATTTGTAGAAGTTTCAAGAATTTTTCTGTAGAAAAATCAAGAAATCTTACGAACAAACCAACAGTTTCAAACACAATACACAAAACTATGTACACGTGCTTGAGAAGATCGGACAATCTGGATCTCCCCTGCCCCTCCCTCCCTTCTGCTCCCCTTTCCACAACCCAACAAACCTTTTTTTCATTACATACGGCCACCCAAATTAAAGTGTCCACCCCAAAAGTGTGTACACTTTTGGGTGTGGTCGGGGGCCCCCTGGGTGTAAATTTACTCCCCCAAACCCCAATTTGGGGGAGTAAATTTACTCCCCCAGGTTTGGGGGAGTAAATTAATTTACACCCCCGTGAGTGTGTAAATTGGTCCGGGGTGAAAATTTACACCCATTGGATCTATCAGGCGACGTTCGGAGGGACTGACCTGGCGATGCAAATGCATGCGGCGTAATCTTCAGCAGAGTGCCTCGGTCGTGTGCGAGGCCCCAACCACAGGTGCGACAAATGACACAAAGAGATTCAGAACCACGTCGTGGAGTGGGACGACGGCGACTTGATAGCGGAGTCCCGCAAGCACTTCACGTTGGATACGAGGCACATACCAGGGTAATGCCCACGGCACCACTGGAGGGCTTGTGCCTGAGGAGGATGTTCTGCTTGCCAGACGGGATAGATGCAGGGATGACTGGATTTCTACAAGGCAGCTCGTCAGCTCCCAACCTTAGCCTTACAATGGCACGTCCTGAGGCAACGGGCATGTTCTCAGACTGGATCTTGTTGTGTGTTCGTTGCGCTTGACATGGGAGGTTCGTCTGCACGTTGAGCGCTGCAACCCGGGTTTGTGCTTCGGCAGCTTGCATGTCCATGGCATCATGGCAGCATAAGGATGCATGCAGGCTCAAACATAGGGCACCTGAGCCGTGGTGCTGTGCGAGGGGGGGGAGGGAGGGAGAGATGAGGAGAGAGAGAGAGAGAGAGAAAGAGAGAGAGAGAGAGAGAGACAGGGAGAGAGAGAAAGAGAGAGTGTGAGGAAAGGGAGGGAGAGAGTGAGCACTGCCCCCAGTGCGGACGTGTGAAAGTGAGCTCACCCAGGTGTGCCCGAGCCTGCTTCATCTCCGGAGGGACGGCGCAGCCCGCCTTCTGCATAACCTCAAATGAATAGCTCCAAGCCCGCAAGAAGCTGACGACCGGCGGCTGATGCAAACCCACAGGAAAAGCCGAACCTCTGCGATGCCGATAGCCTTCCAGGCATCCTCACCTGACAGCAGAACGGCATCTGAAGGCTGCACTGCCTTGGGTCATAGATGCCTTGCCTGACTTGGTGAGGAAAGTGATGCTGTGTCCCTTCTGGCCTGCGCGGCCTGTTCTTCCTGGCACCCAAGGGCTGCTTTCACCAGTCTGCCTGCAGCAAAAATCCGCCTATTCTGTGAACGTGATCTTCAGTGCTGTTGGCAGAATCATAGTTGATGACCTCGCAACATTTTTGCGAGCGGATCCGAAATTTCTCTACCAAACTCGACCGAGTTTGGGACGAGGGTCACACCTGCAGAAGCAGGCACTGCACAGCCAACTTAAACTTCCTGGTTGGCCTTTTATGTCCAGCCCACGTGCCGCGACCTCCGAGCTGCGAGGCAGGAAAGAGTGCCCTTGTCAACCAGTGTCTCAGGCTGCAGCGTCCGTGGCTATGAGCACTGCCGTCTCGCCCGTCTTGAACTGCTGCAATGCCTCCTCTCGCTGCTGCTGGTCCTGGCTTTATAGAGAAAGGCCTCCGAGCCCAAGCACGTGCTCGCTTGGTAAATCTCGGGCCTTGTCGCTGTGCATGGTGTTAGCCGAGATCTTGTACTTGCGCAGCATCCGCATCACCATCTGGAAGCAAGTGACAGGACCGTTGCAATTTGGAGGTGTGGCTACCGCCATGCTGGGCACCCCTGCATCACACTGTTTTTTCATTGCCACGAACACCAGAACTCGCTGGCGAGGGCCCCCGTAGAGCTGCAGTGCCTCTACCTTGTCAGAGCTTGTGGAGAATGGCAGGCAGGCACGAAAATCAATCCAAAAGTGGCAAGCAATCAGATGGCATGCATAATGGCATGGTCTAGCTGCTAAAGCCGCATCCTTGTCATCCGAAGAATTCAGCATCCAGACTTGTTGACTGATGTCTTCGTTCGCCGATAAGGAGGACGTGTCGCCAACTTGCACATGGATGGGAGAGCCGAGGAAATCATGCCTCGGACGCTCACAAGAGACCTCACCCTCGCCACTCCACAAGATCCCACATCAAAGGGAACTTTCGGTGCTAAACTGGCCATAGGCAAGGGTGCTGCTCGCCCCTTTTGAAGGGCATTTCTCCAAAGGCTGGTCTCTAGGCGTTTCTCTTCGTATACGCCTGCGGCTCTCTGCGGCTCTCAGGCTCGCACGCGAGGTTTTGCACCTGCAATTGCATAAGGGTTTTTTGTGTTTTAGTCTTGGGCACGTCTACGCATTTGACGCCGATTCCGGCCTCCTCGGGCCAGGTGGCGCTGAACATCAGCGTCTGCCTTTTTCTGGGCACCTGCGAAAAAGTGGGGGAAGTCTGCGGGCCCCAGGGCCCCCCCCTGCCAGCTGGGCCTCGCCTTCTTCATGATGTCCCGGATTTGGGGTTCAAATCCCATGTCCAGCATTCGGTCGGCCTTCGGAGCGCGGAGCAACTGGGCGCAGAGAGAAACGGACTGAACGGAGCCTCGTCGAAGACAAGGTACCCCACCCCGGATAGATTGATGTCCTGGCGGCCCGCCGGGCGGCGCGGCGGCTGTTTCTTTGAGCATGTCGCTGCTGAGCTCCTTGTACTCCAAGAAGTCGTTGAGGCGCCCGGGCGTGGCCACCAGGATCGGAGCTCCAGCTCGCACGGCCGGCAGCTGCTCGCGCTTGGGTTGGCCACCGTAGACGCATGCGCTGGAGCAGCCCGAGGCCCCGGCGAACTTGCTGGCCTTGCAGTCTCTCTTTTTTGTCCAACATGTGCATCTGTTAGTGCCGCCTCATCATGGATTTGTGTCGCCAGCTCCCGCGTGGGTGCCATGATCAGGGTGCGGATACCTGCTACGTAGCTGGCGGTCATCCAACGATAAGCCGGGACCAGGAAGCCCAGGGTTTTGCCAGAGCCGGTCCTCTGCGATTGAAAAAAAGGACCCTGTCGCACACTGCACTCTCCTGCCGCGGGACTTGGCGATGCCGATGACATCCCAACCGCTGTCTAGAATAGGCCACACCTGTGCCTCATAGAGCTGCAAATCTCAGTGCAACGCCGCGCTCACGCCGCGGTCCCTCCCCAGCGGCGCCTGTATGGGGGTGGGGGCCTGGAAGCCAGCACGCTTGAAGCCATCCAGGAGCGGACGGGGCAGCTGCGCCTGGCAAAGAGCGCTGAGTCTCATGAGCCGCGGTTCGAGCCTCGAGCCGCTGGCCTCATGATAGGTTCCATAGGGTTCAGGCACCGATGCGGTAGAACCATCCGTGTGCCATGCACGAATGTTGTTCTTGAGCCGGTACGGATTGCGCTCCTCGTACGAGGGTGCATTCATCTCTGCCGGGGCCTTCACCTGAGGACGAACAAAGTGAGAGGACAGGAGCACTCAGGAGCACTGGCACTCGAAGAGCGAAGGAGGCCTGCTTGGGGGCCTTCTTGACATAGCTGCTCGCCGCAACTGACATCGCATCGAAACCAGACAGTGCCTCCCACAGCTCCCACATTTCGGAATGCACACACTGGCAAAGCCCCGCCATGGCAATGCAGTCAGAGTCAAGGACACTAAGATGCCTCGGCATGGCCTTCACTGGACCATGCCTTTTGTGCACGATCTCTGTCGCCACCTCGCACAACTCGGTGATGTCATCAGCTTCCAACTGCAAGACTCCACGAAAAGGCACGCGCTGGCGGCCGGCCTCCTTTGCCGTTCTTGCCTCTGCTCTTGCCGTCACCCTTTCCATTCTTTCCGCTCTTGCCGTTCTGCATGCCAGTGGTGCCTGTGGAACCTTGCTGGAAGCCCTCGCCACTGTACCCGCAGCCAGACGGACCACTTATCGAAGGCCTGAGCTGAAAGCAGCAAGGCAAGAGCAAGAGAACGCCTCCAGATCGCGACAAGCGACACTTGGGGAGCCCATCCATAGCCATTGGCCATGTAAGGGTTTGGTGCGGCGTAGCCAGCCCCATAACCGCACTGCATGGCTCACTGCTCCCTCCCCTCCACTTTGCGCGGTCAGGCTTTGCAGGCAATGCAAAGTCATGGCTTACGTGTTCGCCCCAAGACACCGACAGCCCCAATGCAAACAGGTTCCTTTTCTCGCAGGAGATGTCTTCACAAGGTCACAGCTTCATCAGCGGTTGGCTGGACCCGGCACTATGAAAAAAATCAGGTTATCGGCTTGACTTCGCAGCTTTGCCTTTCCAACCCTGCGTAGCACTGGGCGAGACAGTGAGTCCCGCCGAGATGCGAAGACACTGCTGCCAGTATCTGTGCCTTGCCAGAGCCACGGCCTTTTCCTTTGCCCTTCGGCTCGTCTGCAGGTTCGGTCACCCAAACCTTGGAGCAGCGGTCGCGGCTCGAGTAAAACTTCAGAGCTTGAGGTCGAGAGGTCGAGTGAGCCAGCCACAGCCTCGCCGGCTGCTGTGCCGAAATCTGCTTCGACGGGTAAGAAGACACCTCCGTCTTGGCCTCAGGCGATGTGCAATGTCGTGCGGTCTTGAGCAAAGCGATTTGGACACGGACCGAGCTGGATGCCGGCGTCCTCTGAAGGATGGAATTCGGCCCAAACACGACCCCAAGCAAATTGACACCGGCATTGATCAGAGGAGATATTCGGGTGTGCAGGCTTGCGTGATCACACGCACAATACAGATGACGGACAAGACTCCTGCCAGCCATGCCAACACCTGCACCTCATCATCCACCTCACTTCCAAACCCCATCGGTGACTGCTAGCCTTGCGCAATGCTGTGAAATCCGCCAATTACTCTCATCATCCTCGTAGTGCTGCTGAGAGCAAGTCAGGCACCGCTGCGTGGGTTCCTCTCTTGTGATGGCCCCTTCCTCATACATCGCATCATACTCGCTGTCTTCTCCACGAGGGAGGCAACAACAAGCACGCCTTTAGGAAATACGAGCACCCCCGCTCACCGATGGTTCCATCTCTGTATGGCACGAGCATCCTTCGACACTGCATCTGCCTAAAGTCACAAGCCGGAAAAAACTCTCGGCTCTCCTGCTCGCCCGCCCGAGCCTGCAAGCCGCTCGGCAAAAAGACTTCGAAAATCACGCTGTCCACTCTGCCACATGCCGCATCTCAAGGCTCTGCTATTTTGCCAGGCGGCAATGTGCTCGGCCAGCCGGACTCCCGAGAGCCATGCGGCCTCAACGGTAGAGGCCCGAGCCGGTGTGGCACTGAGCCAATCGCCTACCATCGGATTCTGCTGACAGAACCCACGCAGGACAAAGCATGATCCGACACGCCTGCAATGCCGATGCGATGGCACGCCGACCACGCGAAATCCACCGCATCCCGGCTTGCCCAGCCTGCGGCGGCGGGGTCGAAGGATTTCACAAAGCTGACTCGCCAAATCCATCTAGGGGGCATGCGGGTGATGGGCAGAGCTGCACCCCAGAGTTGAAGCCTCTGTGAGGCTCAAAATAGGCTACGATTAGCAACTCCTGCAAGCCAGAAAGATCGTCCGCATGCTCTCCGTCCAAGGAGCTTCGTGGCACGGACCTTGCCGAGCAGGCTCCCCTTTGCCAGCCCGACGGCCCGCTCTACGGCATACAGCATGAGCTCCACAACCTGACCACAAAGCCACATTTTTCAGGAGGCCCTCGAACATGTAAAGGGTTCTGCTAGGGGTATGCGCATTCGCTCAAAGAAAAGCTCGCTTCATTGCAGGCACCTGGGTCGACTCGGCTGGACAAGACGCACCAGGGGTTTGCTGTGCTGGCACGTCTGAGGTGGGCTCTTAACTTGTTAGAGGCATGCACGGGAAGACAAAGTGCAGTGCCTGTTTTGGTTGACCCGCGAACTGCGCCCGCCAGGGCACTGCCCCCAGAAACCGGGCGGCGCACTTCTGCGCCCCTTCTTCCAGGCTTCGCCGGCCGGTGGTCTCAAAGGTAGAAGCAAAACCAAAAAAAGGTGGTGAGAGCGGAAAAAGCGAGGAGAAATCCGCGCCGCGAGAGCTAAGCTTGTACAAGCAACCGCACCTGTCGACTCCTCGCGCCATGGCCGGGGGTGCCCTGGACCCCCCCGCCGCCCCGGCCCCTACGCCCTCTTCTGCTGCGCTCTGCCACGTCCCGCCGCCACACGATGAAGGCTTAACTGTGAAGATGGCAAATAAGCGACAAGACTTGAGCGAGAATCTCCAGGACGTAGATGAAAGCCTTGCAGGACTACGAAGGGCTCGAGGTGAGTGGCCAAACGACAGCCAGAGGATGAGCATTGAATTCCAGATGCTGGATGTGGCTCCAAAGCACATGGCGAAACGGACAGTGAGACGGCAGAGGGCGCCGAGGGCCGCCTGCGACTACTCATTGGAACCACAAAGTTGGTGATGACATTCAGCAGTGGTCTGCACACACTGGCGTCCACAAGCAGATAAAGCATCCCGTATCATCCCGCATCGAACTTGGAAGTTCCGGTGGGAGGCTCGACTCCAACAAGTTGCTGCCGGAGCTGGTTCCTAGTCTCTTCGATGCGGAGGGAGCTTGATCGGTGACACCGATGTCCAGTTACTGGTGGCCAGCTCGCTCAGACAGCATGCTTCGGACTATCTGGGTTTCCACCTGCACCCGGCCGCATTCAGTCGATCGACCAGTCTCTGCTTCCTCTTTCGTCGAATTCTCGTTCCCAGGTTTACACAAGCAAAACGTCCATGGTACGAGAACATATAACCCGCATGGATTGCGAGGCGAAGCACGGGCACCTGCCAGACGAGTTTTAGCCAGACGGGTGGCTGAGTGGCTGGTGTGAGGGAAGAAGCACACAGCACATGCAAACGCACCCGAGCCGCTGCAAACGCACAGGAACTCGGATCCGAGCTCCGGGGGGTCTATCGCCGTCAAGAGCAAAAAACGAATCGCGCGCGATGTGCCATGCGACCAGCCACCCTGTCTAATGGCGGCGCTCTGGCCAAGCCCGACTCAATGCGCTCCCGCTCTTCTCGCAGCAGGCGATAATCAATCGGACCGGGTTTTACGAGCACAGATACGATTTCTTTCTGTGCCTGACCACCGGCTCACCTTGGGCAGCGACCTCCACATTGACGCTTCGGCTCGAAGCTTGCTTGGGCAGGCGGTGGGATTCGGATGCGAACGGTTCGTAATGTGTGCTGGTACGATGTTCGATGGCAGATTCTCATGTGATGAGAAAGCTTGGTGCGATCGAGAGTCTGGTGTGATGTCAAATCCTGGTGTGATATTGAAACTTACACGATGCCTCAATAACAGATATTATGTACTACCTCCGTTGGCTTTGGGCCCCGGGGCCCATTTGGGGGGGGGGGGAGTTAGGCGACACCTTGCCCCATTAATTTATTGAACCAGCCAGCCCAAAAATCAAGCCCAAAATATTCAACCAACCAGCCCGCTAAAATATTCAACAAGCCAGCCCGAAAACCTTTCCCCGTAAATCCCTGTTATTTCTTAGCCCAAAATCCCAAGCCCAAAATCCTAAACCAAATTCCTTTAATATGCTTAACCTCAAACCCCAAACGCTTAACCTTAAACCCTCAACCCCCAAAAATATCCAACCGGTCAGCCCAAATCCCCGTAAAACAATATCCCAAAAATCCCAAGCCTAAACCCAAGAAAAAACACCTTCCCCCACAAATCCCCGTTATTCCTCAACCCAAACCCCTAACCCGTAAACCCAAGAATAACAATAAGCCGATCTTGGGGCAAGGTGTCTTTAATGAAATTTAATATTATATTATTATAATATTAAACTACATTTTTACTCACCAATTCAAGAAATGATATTCGTCCGCTATTTTTTCTATTTCACGTTCAAGCCTAATTGTTTTGGCGTCCAGTGCAAATAGGCGGTCGCATCTTTCTGTCATATTAATCTTGCCTCTTTTGCCTTTGCGTTTCTTCATATCCATTATTTCATTTATGGTTTCATCATACTCTCTCATTTTGTCGCATTTTTTACAACCGTTGAATCGGCTTATGTTTTCAATGGCATTATCTGGAAACATGTTAAATATTTTTCTGAGGTTTTCTTCGTGATACTTACATATAGCACAGCATTCGAACTCGTCGTCACTCATCCCTATATACTAATATACTAAGGTCTCATCCCTTTAAGCCGTTTTGGGTCAAGTTTTTTCATAGTCTGGGGCAAGGTGCCCCTCTAATGAAATTTAATATTATATAATAATAATATTAAACTACATTTTATGAATTATCTTTATCCAGAATTTTGAACAATCATCTCATTTAAGAACTCTGTGGTTGCTTCTAAATAATCATAATGTAATTGTTTGTCTCTTGTTTTATCATATTGTAAATAATGTGTTATACGAATAAAAATATGATGCACTCTTTGATAATAATTAGCATAACCACATAGAGTATCATTAAAATAATCCTTCTTTTCCTGATGCCATTTATAAAAATCAAAATTATCAAGGTTCTCATACATTGTTTTCATTTCAATATGTAACTCAAGTGTATAATCTTTCTTTCGAACATCATCTCGCATTATTTCATGAACTTCATCATATTCTGGGTATTTGTTTAACTTAGTAAAGGGTAATATATAATCATCAAATAAATGCCTTAACTCGCAACATTTATCACAACAGTAGTACTTTGCAATCTTGTCTTTAAAACTATGTAAGACATCGCATTTACCTAATATTTTTATTTGTTCATTCTTAACTGGTATGCATATATCACAATTGTTAAAATAATTAAATTTTCGTATCTCACTATAAATAGTATCATCTTCACTCTCACTTTCATATTCGCTTTCATAATCACTCTCGCATTCATACTCGCTCTCACTCATCACTAATATACTAAGGTCTCATACCTTTAAGCCGTTTTGTGTCAAGTTCTTTCGCCATCCAAACCAAGATAAATACACGCCGTGATCCAAACCATGATAAATACACGCCGTGATCCAAACCATGATAAATAAACTCCGTGACCCAAACCATGATAAATACACGTTTAAAGGT